CAGGTGCGAGCGCGGCGGGCGGGGCGCGGGCGCGTTACGCACTTTGCGCAGCGGCAGCGGCGGAAGCGGCCGGCGGGAAGTGCGCGGGCGGCGCGCGCCGCGGGGCGCGGGCGCTACGCAAAGTGCGTAACGCGCGAGCGGCGCGGCCACCGACACGGCGCGGGCAGGGCAGGGCACCGCGCGTGCGCCCCGCGGCGGGGGCGGGCACGGCGGGACAGCCAATGGGAGGGCGGGGCCGCCTCGCGGGGGAAGCCAATCAGGGAGCGCGGGCGGCGGCAGGGCGGCCAATGGCGGACGGCCGGGGTTTAAAGGGGTATTTAAGGCGCGGCCGTTTGAATTCAAACAGATGCGCTGCGGCCTCTGAGGCGGCCGGGCTGGGGTGAGAATAGGGATATCGGGAAGGATAGAGAGGGCCCCGAGGCTTTGTGCGAGTGTATCTGTTCGCTGGGGGCGTCCCTGCGGCTTTGGGGGGTTCCCTACCTGCCGGAGGGTCCCGGTGTTGCTGGGGGGTGGTCTCTGCCCGCAGAGGGGTCTCTGTCCTTCTGCAGGGAGATCCTGTGATTCTGAGGGATTGCCGAGGAATCCCTGTGGTTGTGGGGATGTTCTCTGCCCGCCGGGAGGGTCCCTGCGGTTCTAGAGGGTGTCCCTGCCCGCCGAGGGGTCCCTATGGCTCTGTGGGGTGTCCCTGCCCCCCGGGGGGGCCGCCCCGGACGGCGTTCGGTGGCGGCGGAAGGTGGTTGTTGATAAGAGCCCGAGAGCTCGCGTGTTCTTTGAGCTGACCCCTATTCCCCACCGTCTCCTCCCAGGCCGAGCCGGGTGTCCCTCTCCTCGGGCGCTATGGACAGGAGCAAGAAGGAGAACTACGCCGCCTACCCCGGCCGCGCTGCCAAGGTAAACGTCCGAATTACGAGGTTTTTATATTAGTTCTCCTGAGCCATTTCTTATGCTGGATCGCTGGTCTTGCTACGTGAATTCTCGTGAGATTGCCACGAAGATTCTGTGGGTCTGTCTGGTTGGGTCTGGGGTTGGCAGTTTTTGCTTTATTTTTTAGTGGGGGCGTTGGTGAGGTGTATTTCTCTCCGGAACTAGAGATTATAAACTTCGTGGTAATGTTACTCTTCTGTAGCTTTCTCTTGGAGAGAACAGTGCCTAGAGCTTACTTTTTTTTATTGTTGCTAATATTAGCGTAACTTGATTTGGGAAATCCTCCGTACGTTATAAGTACTTTAAGATCTCTTAGAGAGAGAGTAAGTGTGTAAAATCAAGTTATTCCAGATAGTTTCCAAAAGCAAGCACTGTGTCAATGTTGCTGTTAACCCACACATGCAGCAGTGCTCAAGATCACCCTGATTACATATATTTTCTATTTAGAAACACAAGCACTTTCTCACTTTTTTAACTTAATACCAAATAGTCCTGGTGAGGTTTTGGATTAGCATAAACAAAGCTTCCTTTTAATGAACCTGTCAACGTGTTATTTTTAGTGAACTGAATCAGAAATAATATCTAAGGGGAGAAAAAAGTACAAACTGTTGCATAAGCACAATTAGAGGGTCAAAAATGTAGGAATGCTGATCATTAGCATTTGAACTTAACTGTAGCCAAAGGACTCTAAAATGACTAAGATTTTCTTAAATATAAATTAACTTTTCTCACTGGAAACAAAAGATTGAAAGTATAAAAGCAGGTGAACCTTCTGAATTTGCTTTGTTCTGCTGAACTCCTCTTGCAGTGCAAGATAGATTAGGATGGACAGTACTAAGGGCAGCAGTGACTCAAAGCTGGGCATGTGTTTGTAGCGAGCATCTGCTGTCTTGATACCTTTGGCTGATGTTCTTCAGATGTGGAAAAGTTCTGCTATGAGTTTTTCTAAAATTAACATAAATCTTTCCTTTTTGCAGGTTGTTAATCCCCTTGGGGATGGCCCCAGACGTGTCCCTGTGTCTCAGCACACTGCCCAGAGCCAGTTACTGACCAGTGGAGCTCAAGCACAACGTGTCCTGTGTCCTGCAAACCTTCCCCAGCGAGTTCCTGTGCAATCCCAAAAACCTGTGCTGTCAACCCAAAAACTGTGCCAAAACCCAGCAGCGCAGCAGCTCCGACCCAAACAGCCCGTCCAGGCCACTGTGAAGCCTCGATTTCCGAGCAAGAACAGCGAGAAACCCCAACAGGCTCCAGGGCCTGGTAATTGTGAGGATGATGTGCCTGTGGTCACACAGCTGTGACACTGGGGATACTCCTGTGAACCAGAGTGGAGTGCAGGAAACCTAAAGCTGCTGCTAATCTGGGAACAGCCCTGTAGAGAAGTTCTTTGCTGTGCCCCAAAACAGAAGAGCAGCACGTGCTTCACCTTAGATGTTAATGCACTATCCTTGTAAACGAATCTTCAGACTGATCATTTAGAGCCAAAATGTGTGTTAAAAACTTCCAGGTGCTCACTGGCCAGCTCTGAGTTAATGTAATTTGCACTCAAATTTTGAGGTTTTAGAGGATTGATGTTAATCTTCTATATACAAGAATATACTTTGGGGGTAGGGGGAACCTCATGCAGTTCATTTTTTAAGAAAGTTGTTAAAATTACATTTTGCTAGCCCTGTTTCTTTCCCAGTGGTCAGCTATGCCTGGTTGCTTAAAGTGTCATAGAATGTATTCTAAGAATGTCTTCAGATAGTGCACAAAGGTTAGATTTGTTCCTGTGTGAGTGTTTGTAGGTCTGGTTCATAAATTGATTTACTTCTCTGTTCATAGCAAAAAATCCTGAAGCAGAAAGCACCTCTAAACAGAAAACTGAAGAGACTGCCAAAAAGAAAAGTGAAGAGACTAAAAAGTAAGTTTTATACCTAAATTCTAGATAACTGAGGCCTGTTGGATTAGGCTTGTTTTTAACTTCTAGAACTTCATGCTACACTTAAACTGAAGGCTGCTTGAGCCCCTTAGTTGTGGAGACTGATGATCCCTACACTTTGCAGTGATAACATGTGAAACACTAGGAAATCTTCCTTTGAACTGAAAATTCTCAGGAACAAGGATTTGCTGTAAACTAAACAAAACTTTATGCTAAATGCAGAGTAGCTCTCCCCATGATAGCTGCTGCTCCAATCATGAGATGCACTCTTGAAAATAAAGCCTCCTTCATCTGGGCAAGAGGCTGGAGTCTAATTCAGGATGAAGTTGGATTTGTTTGTGGCTGCTTTAAATAGTTCTGACATGCACTACTGATGTGTTTTTGTTAAATGTATCCAAAGGAGCCAGTTCTGATTTTGTAGTAGTGTGGTTGGTGTTAGTCTCTATTTATTATCAAGGTTAGTCTGCATAAATTTTAGGAAGGAATAAAATAGCTTTCAGAACTTCCTTTTGGAAAGTCTCATTGCATACTTTTAGTCTTATGGTGTTCTCTTCAAGACTAAAATCACTAAGAATCTATTGAACATGAGCATTAAAAGTGACTGTAAATTTAGGAGGCAAAGCTCAAAAAGAATCTAGCTTTTAACTTTCCTCTTCCAGAAGGCAATGGTCCCTTGAAGATTTTGAAATTGGTCGTCCTCTGGGGAAAGGAAAATTTGGGAACGTTTACCTGGCACGTGAAAAACAGAGTAAATTTATTCTTGCACTGAAAGTGCTCTTTAAAACACAACTTGAAGAAGCCGGTGTAGAACATCAACTAAGAAGAGAAGTTGAAATACAGTCCCATCTTAGGTAAAGTTTAGTGACTAATTACTCTGCTTTGTTTGCATTCAAATAAATAAAGTAACCTGGATTCTGATAAGGTTTCTTTATGATAAGATTTCTTCTTTCTTGAAAGAAAAGTTTCTTTTTAAACATATGACACCCTGGTATTCCTAGTCAGGATTTTTGCCTTTCTGCACCACAATTTACCTTTGTCTGCCTTGCAATGAAGTGACTTCTGGTTACAAATCTTCCTATTATAAAAATGCTGCTTGGATTTATGTGGCTGCAGTTTCTCGAGTCTGAGCTTGTTTCTGGTGTTCTGCTTCCTGGAAAATAGGAAGAAATTGAGTTTTCACAGAAAATACATAAGCTTCAATTCCTAAACCTATAGGAATTGGCACCTTCAGTGGTAATTAGTCTTCCAGCTGCTGTAGAAAATTATGTTCAGAAGATAAGAATTAGCCAATCTCTTGGCTGGCTGCTTCCAGTAGGGACTCTAAGCTGCTGCTTTGGTGAACACCATCTCTCTGCTATGAAGCTCTTTTTGATTTGTTGTGATCTGAAGGAACACTTATGAAGTTCACATGCTGGTCTTGAAATGGGAGAGGCAGGAAAGGGAAATTAAAGGTTTTGGACAAATACCTTGTTCAGAATAACACTTAAATCTCTTTGCAGGCACCCCAACATTCTCAGATTATATGGCTACTTCCATGATGCCAGCAGAGTCTACCTGATTCTAGAGTATGCACCTCGTGGAGAAGTCTACAAAGAACTTCAGAAGCTCATCAAGTTTGATGAACAAAGAACTGCTACTGTAGGTTGTTCCAGCTTCCTATACATCACTTTTAGTAGCTGGAATATCTGCAGGATAAAGCCAGCTCTTCACATAAAGTTCTGTATTCTGCTATGACACTGAGATTCCTTGGATGCTGGTTTGCATATGGGCTTGTGACAGGGAATAAGTTGGGAACACAGTTACATTAGTGCTGTGTAATAATGCATGTTCACAACTGCTTGATTTTGCAAGTGCTTGGTCACTTCAGGCACAGCCTGTATTGCCAGATTTGAAGGGTTTAAGGAATAATTGCTTTAACTTAACACTACTGATTATGCCTAGAAAAAGCTGTACTGCAGCCAGATAAACTCTAGTGACAATGTCTTTATTAAAGGTTGTTCTCTCTCAACACAGTACATCACTGAACTAGCAGATGCCCTCTCATACTGTCATTCCAAGAGTGTCATTCACCGAGACATCAAGCCAGAAAATTTGCTGCTTGGCTCAAATGGAGAGTTAAAAATTGCTGACTTTGGATGGTCAGTGCATGCTCCATCATCTAGGTGAGAATTCAATGTAGTGAAATCTTTCTCTAGTGAAAATAGCAGTTTTTGTGTCACACAGTTGTGGAATGGAGATGAACTTCTTAAAATACTGGGGAAAAAATGCTACCACAACAAAGGTCTTAATAGTGAACTGGTGTAGCAGAGGAGTTGTTGTTATCCTGTTTTTTCAACAGTTCAAACCTTGCTGACCCTGAAAGAGGGTTGGGTGGAGGGTTACAGTGGTCTCTGAGATGACAGACCAACACTGGCAATATGGTTATTTCCCACTGAGTGTGAAATTGCACCTAAAAAAAGAGGACTGTATTTGTTCTCACAAGTGAGTTGAAGAAAGGAGAGAGAAAAGTGATTGCAGGGACTGAGATAGAAGGAGAAAATGTACTGCTGGCAGTTCTTTGCCAGGTATTCTGGTGGTGCTGAGCCCATTCAGGTGGACTATACTGAGGTAGGTACTGATGATGGTCAGCATTAGTTTTTATCTGGCTCTGGAAATAGATCCTATAATTGCCATAATCAGTGATTAACTTGGACTTTCCTGCAGGAGAACAACTCTCTGTGGGACACTTGACTACCTGCCTCCTGAAATGATTGAGGGAAGAACACATGATGAAAAGGTGGATATTTGGAGCCTGGGAGTTCTGTGCTATGAATTCCTTGTAGGGAAACCACCATTTGAAGCAGCAACATATCAGGAAACCTACAGAGCTATTTCTAGGGTAAGTGCCAGTGCTCATTTGGACAAGTTGCCTTTCAGCTTTAGAAATTTTGAATGACAGATGTATTTTCACTAGAACTGTAGCATGACATAATGATCTGTTTAAAACTGTATCCCCAAGACTGTCTTCAGTCATTCAGTGCAATGACTATAAAGAGACTTCAAGATACCTTGTCTTGCTTCCTTGGTTCTACCCTGTTTCTGCCTACATCTGAATTTCTATGTTTCATAAAGCAACTCATCTTCTAACAGCTTTTCTAATTGATAAAATGAATATTTAACATTCAAGGTGTTATTAAAAATACATAACTTTTCCTGTTGCAGACCCCAGAAAGGTTTCAGCAAACTAGTTCTGTTTGAAGCAGGCTGAAAATATACACAACTATACAAATACTTGTACAAGCAGAGAGAGCCTTGTTCAGGATTATGATGAAATTATTTGATCTCATCTTTGGTTCTGTAGTTTGGTTATTGCCAAAGAACTTTTTCCCTCATCTTTAGTGTCCTTTTTTTCCTAGGTGGAGTTCAAGTATCCTCCATTTGTAACAGAAGGTGCGAGGGATTTAATTTCCAAGCTTCTGAAGCACAACCCATTCCATCGACTGCCCCTGAAGGATGTTCTTCTCCATCCCTGGATCACAGCAAACTCTACAAAGATGCCCAGCAGCAGAAAGAGTGATGTTGCTGCCCCATCCAAAACGTAGTTTTAGGAGGACCTTATGGGATCAACAAGAGGAGTCTTGTACTGTGACTACTGTAATGCTTACAAATAGAAAAAGCAGGTCTTGGAATCTAATGGCAATTGGAATCCTTGTTGTTGTCTTACACTCTAATTGCAACATAAAGTTCTTTGACTTCCAGCTGGAGGTTGTGGAATATTTAATATACTTGATATCCAGGTACTTGTGGGCCAGGTTTGATGTGTTAAGCTGTTCAAGGCTCTTGTGGTCAGTCCTGGTAATGGTTTGTTGTTCCAACCAGAGGAAGTTGTTGCTTTGGCTCATTGAACAGTGCAATATCCTGGAGGAACCTGCTCCTCGCTTCCTGGGCTGCTAAGGGTGTCTTAACTGTGGTGTAACCTGAGACTGAGAGAGTTGATGAATGCATTTCTCAAGTGTTTTAAAAATGATGTGTCAGTTATTTTTTTGTCTCTAGTTTGTTTTCAATGTGAGCACTCAACTTTGAAATAAAGATTTGTTACACTGCAGCCAGCATGCTGGGGTTCCTTGTGGCACTGGTTGTCTCTAACAGCAGCACAACTGAACTCCTCCTCTGTGGTCACTGAGTAAGTTTAATTCCCACCTCTGTCAAAAAGGAAGCTGGTATAAAGTTCTTTTCAGAGTGCTGGTACCACCAAGCAGGTACACTTAATTAATGGAAACTGCATTAATGGAAAAAAAGCACTTAAGTACTATCTTAAATTAGCATGAATTACTATCCCTCAATCCCAAATCAGGATTACAAGGTAAGTACCAAAGGTGTTGCTCCTTACCTTGTTAATTTATTTAGACTTTAGCCTGCTTTGTCCTTTCTTAAATGAATTCATTCAAACACAACATGATCTGCAAGCACTTCTAAGAGAAAGGTCTGGAAAGTATTGTTATCAAATAGGATATGTCATAGTAACATCTGGCATTGGAAGACATTCTCTAAAATGTACCAAGGGTCAGGACCTTTGCCACCAAAATCTGCAGGCCAACTATTTTCCAGTAAAACACTTCATGCAAACTAAGAGAAAGCAATTTATTGTATTTTCATTATAAGACTTCAATGTCATCTTCACTATTTTACAAATGCTTTTAAAAAAATGATCCTTTTACAAGCAAGGATTCTAGAATTCAAAATATATTCTCAAATTAATTTAAAATATACTTTGCCAAAAAACCACTTCATCTAAACAAATTGCCAGTAGTTTATACAACCATCTTTATAAGTAATCTGAATTCTGGTCATAATTTATATGAAGCTGTTTCCTTTTACAGCAAGAAAACTCTAGTGCTGGTGCCTTGTAATGACCTTTGCTTTAAATTATTCCAGCTTTACATGTGATTTTGAGAAAGAGAAGGAAGAGTAAAAGCTTGTTCTGTCAAGTTCAGGACAAAATAGACTTAGCAGAACTGATTCTAAATAAGAAAACAAGGCTGCCTCATACTTATTCTGGAATTCTTTTATTATTATGTGGCTCTTGTCTTACACTCTAATTGCAACATAAAGTTCTTGACTTCCAGCTGAAGCTTGTGGAATATTTAATATACTTGAAATCCAGGTAACTGTGGGTTTGATGTAAGGTGCACTTCAAAATATATTCTCAAATTAATTTAAAATATACTTTGCAAAAAACCCACTTCATCTAAACAAATTGCTAGTAGTCTATAAAACCATCTTTATTTTAAGTAATCTGAATTCCAGTCATAATTTATATGAAGCTGTTTCTTTTTACAGCAAGAAAATTAGTTTAGTGCTGGTGCCTTCTAATGACTTTTAGGTACATTTGCTTTAACTGATTCCAGCTTTATATGTGATTTTTGAGAAAGAACAAGCTTTGACTATTCCTTCAATTTTAGGACAAAACAGACTATCAGAACTGATTCTAAATGAAGACAACAAGGCTGCCTCCTACTTATTCTGGAATTCTGTTATCTTTGTACAGATGGAGCTGGGAAACTTCAGTGCATCCAACCTGCCTCTGGATTGGACTTTCTATGTGAGGAAGGAGTTAAGGTGCAATTTAATTTTATGGCAATAGGCTGCTCATAACAAGAAGTTATTTGCTCTTTTTCTCCCTCAGCCACCTCTCATCCTCATCTCATGATTCCTTCCTATTAATTCACTAAATTTCAGAAAAAAAAATTGATCACCAGGGCAACTTCCTCTCTTTTACTTTAATCAAATTCCTCTATGGGCACATCTGTCAGAGCCACCTTGGGGCCAGTGTAAGGACAAAGAGAAGGTGAAAAGACCTGGAAGGAGGAACAGGTCCAAAACCCCACAGATCTGGCTCAGCCTGTCTCACACCAGCACAGTTCTGAGTCTCAAAGCCAGGCTTACCCCAGAATGTTACCCTGACTACTCAGTTTTGGGATTCAGTCTTCAGTTGGAAGGTAGAATGTGAAAATGCACATGTGTATCTACATTCTAATAGAAGCGGAAGGAAAAGCAGAAAAATAGAATAAGGAAAGGAAAAGCAGCTGTAATTGATACATTCACCAGTCTCAGTCAAAACCACAGGAACTGTTCCTCTGAAGCTATGAATTGGAATGTCTGGACTTCAGGTGCAGGTTCAGGACTCCTTCACAGGAGCAGAAACTGCTCGGGTTACTTTTAAGACAAAAATGTGTTTCCAGTACAAAGCCAGATCTCAGGACATTAAAACACCACAGCTTGTCTCTGACTTGATTCTCTTTGGAGTATGTTCACATAGGAGGTAACTCTGGTTACACTGATTTCAGTAGACTCAAGATCCCTTCTGAGTCTATAGGCATAAAAAAAAAATAAAGCAGTTCAGTAAGACCAGCTCCCAGCCTATAAATAAAACACATTTTCAAACAATAAAATCTTGGAATATGGAAGTAGTACAATGGAGCTGTAGTTTCAGACCAGTGTACCACTTATTCTGGCTAAAACAATTATCACTGCAATAATTATAGGGGTACTCCCACTAAAGTTAATTCACTGTATGTGTTGTACTACAAGACAGGCCATACCAAAAGCCTTTTCCTAACAAAAGAAACACCCACTTGCCCCTTTAGATTACAATATAAACTCTTACCAAAAGAACTACCTGTGTAGTAGGATACTATTCTATTGGAAAGAGAATCTTACTGTTCCTCAGCTACACAGTAAGGAACTAATGCTGAGACTCAGTTCTGACAAGGAAAAAAAATTAAGGCCCAGAAAGCAAGATTATAAAGCCCCAGAATGTGTTAAGAGACTGCTCGTTGTAAAGCATTTATACTACCAGTTGCAGTGGAAACCAGACACCATTTTAACAGGTTTTTCCAAAGGAGAGGTGGCAAAAGGGAAAGAAGGTAAGGAGAGCATTTTTCACAGTGACATTTACCTGAAAGAACAAGTCAGAAATGCAAGATGAGGTCAGCACAAACATAGAATCCAAGGAAGTCTTTTATAGAAACTTTGTGGATATGGAGCATTTAAAAACCCAAATCCAGTGACAAATCATCACGGGTTGGAGGCAGGAGGTTTGAAGAACCCGATTTTGCGGCAGTACCGGACAACAAAGGGCACAGAAACCACCGTGATGCTGATCCGGACCGGAGCAAACAACTTGTGCACAGCATAGGCCAGGACAAAGGTGCTGGTGCCTGCAGCCATCCTGGACTGCAGGGAGGATTCACTGAAACCAAGCTTCAGGAGAACTGCAGTCATATCCACACCGCTGGGGGGACAGAGAACAAGGCTCCTTTAGTTAATTCTAAGGTTTGTATTTTTTAAAATATAAAGCGCAGTTTAACGTGGCGCACTTCCAGCTCTGGAATTGATGTGCAAATTAGATGCTGTTAAATGTTGAAAAGAATGGGTTATTTCAGCAGTAACAGCTTAAATTACTTCTGTATCAACAACACATGCAGTATTTCCCAATTTCAATTTTTTTCTTAAATTGGCAAGTTCCTTGTGAAGTCAAATATCTCCTCAGTTTTCCAAATGTACGGTTGCAGCACGTGCATGGAAAATACTGATAGAATCACAGAATGGTTTGGGCTGGAAGTGATCTTAGAGATCATCTAGTTCCAACCCTTCAGCTCAGCCTTTGGAGAGAAAATAATCTATTTTTCCACACAGGGATTTTCAAAAAGTTAGTGTGAATTTGTGTTGGACATGTGTCTTTCCAAATTTCACAATAAAGCCAATCCTGTCTCTGGAGGAAATTTATCACTTAAACATAGAATAATAGAAACCAAATGAAGTACCTGTTGTTGGGCTTAGAGTGTTCTAACACAGGGGTACAAAGCTGTTACAATGAGAAGTATCTTATATAAAATCTAGCAAGTGAAGGAAGTAGTATGGATCTCAAATGAGCATTATCAACCAAATCCATGAATATGTTAGTTCTCTATACACACAGCAGCTTTCATCAAGGTTCCTGTGTTTGGAGCAATTTTTCAGAAGAAGTTGTTAGTGTGACTTTTCTCCCTTCAGTTGCCAGTACATTACCTTTTAACTGGGAGTTCATTGTCACCCTGTGCCACAAAGTAGTAAATGGGAGAAATTCCTGTATTCCCACTGGAGTCAAGAGGAAGCAGCAGGGAATGTTTGTCCCCTCAGCTGAAACACCTCATTTCAGCAGACATTTGTACCTGATGCACTCCCACCAAAGCCACACACACAATTTCCATATACATTGCATGTTCTTTTTACTCTAATCCTGTTTTAGTGGCCGTTGTTTCCTGCAGTTCAACTGCAGAAACTGTGTTCAACACCCAGAAAAATAAGTTTATCTCTAAGCCCCAATGCTTTTGCATGGCTCTATCTCTACAGACCATGGCACTGTGTGAGAACAAGAGATATCTCTGCCAAACAAAGACATTCTCTCCTCTGTTCAGTTACTCTGGTGCAGTCTCTGCTGTTTTCACTGACGGTGAACCTGTGCAAAAATATCATGCACAACTTCTCTCATGGCTGATGGGAGATCAGACCCACTTATGGACCCATCCACCCTCAAAATTCAGGTTACTGTGTATAGATCCTACAGGCATAAGGTACATGTCTCCTGCCAGAAATAAGCACAATGCTTAATATATCTTTCTTGGCTAAACCACTACTTTGAGGCAACAGACAACTGTACAAACCTCACCTTGACACGGCCAGGTAGAAGATTCCTAGAGACACTAATGAAATTCCAACATGGAATGAAACCCCTACAGCACCATATTCTTTAAAAACTTGTTTCAGCTGCTGGGATTTGTTGAGTTTCTTGTTCTCACCACTGGGATCAGTGGCTGTGTATTTGGGGGGTTCATGTGCATCCTAAAGAGAAAACAAAAGTATCTATTAGTATTAAGCACAAGATCATATTCCAGTCAGTTGAACCAATGTGAAATAATGAAAGAAGTGTCTTGCAAACAGTGATTTGGGAAAACAGTAACACACTTCTGCTCTTTCACATCAGCAGAGCAGATGCCTGTGGCAGAGCCCAGGCAAGGTCCCTTTTCCCAAGTATTCTTATCAAAGGGATACACTGATCTTGGT